AACTTGCTCCTGTTCTCTCTTGAATCGTTTTACTATTTATTAAACTGCTATTATTGATCCTGCGTTTCAGAAATTAGCCAATTTCTATCCTAGTCCCCATTAAGATGATTCGTCCACTCCTGGTTATCTACCCACAATTCACATCCCTATATTCACTGAGGTCATAGAATTTGTCATAAGTAAACAATTAAACTCCGTGAGCCTAACTTACCCCTGACGCCTTGTTTCGTGACAGTCTTAGCCGTTCCATTGCAGACTTACTCTTTCTACCGACTCATAAACTTGGGTGATATTTACATATTCTATCCAACTTATTTTGTTATCTTTTATATTTTTAAAGCTTTTGATAAGATGTAGCATCAAGTTATACTTTTCCAAATTCCATCCTTGTCTGTGGTTCTTTGATTTCCTGGAATTTCTCAGTTCTTTCCAACCATTACTTCCATGTTACATGGATGGCTTAACTAAGAATACTTTCTCATCATAACTTGAGTACCACAAGGCTTAGTTCTTGCTCCTACTCTCTTCTTAATGATTTTCTCTCCATCCCCTCCAGCAGTGCTTTTTGCTGATGACACTAACGCACACAAAAGTCTATCTTACAGCTCTAATCACTTACACTTAAGCAAAGCTGTACGAATATTAAGTCTGCAGTTCAGAGAGCGCAAATAACCTAGTTATATCATATAACTACTGTATGTGCAATGAGATCATGTAAAAATTATCAGTCTTTCAAACTATCTTTTACGGCCTCGTTTACATTGAGGAACACCCGTATTATATCAATCACCAGTGTTAATGCTTTTGGTGTTCCTGTAAACTAAGTTTCCTTTTTGGGCTCGTCAATTCATGTTTGTTTTCACACTTCTTACTGTCTACAGTAGCCATGTCGCCTCAACCTGGAATATTGTTCTCAAAGCGTGTTGAATCCTATTGAATATTGTTAGACAAAATTAAATCTAAATCCATTAACTTATTATCAACTGGTCTGTAACTACCTCCTTTCCTTCCTTTTTACATCAGTTATCCGGCCTCTTTCCTTTCTTCTCATCTACTGCTTTTTATACGGTCAAGAAGCCAATACTACTACTACTACTACTACTACTACTACTACTACTACTACTAATAATAATAATAATAATAATAATAATAATAATAATAATAATAATAATAATAATAATAATAATAATAATAATAATAATAATAATAATAATTAACGGTTTATTAAGATAACATGGCAGCCCGAAGGCTGAAAATATACAATGAACAGAGGTTAGGGGTTAGGTGTAAATGGGACTGCCCAGTATGGGCCAACAGGCCCGCTGCAGTTTCCTCCATTCTTATGTTCTTATGATCTTAAGTCTGATCCATCGTCTCCCATTCCTTCAATCATAGTTATAACATATCATTCCTTATCATGTCGACCCTACTTTGATCAAGATGTATTTAGTCTAACTTTATTATCATCACATCCTTCGTCCGTCGCCTTTCTTCTCTATATAACCCTTCCTCTCGTGCCTTTCCACCCACAAACAACAACTTTATACATAAGACATACACTCATCTCCTAATGCACAATTAAATCGTGCATCTTTGCCCTTCTTATTCATGATAGGCAACCCAAGGTCACTAGTTATTTTATCGTCCTTCAGAGGTCATGCTGTCATATTATGTACAGTCGGAAACCATATTCTCTAGCCCACCTGGGTCGGTGCTGGAGGTTAGTACAGTGTCCTTTCTGGACGGGGGCCCACTCTAACTATCACGAGGCAACACACGCACGAACACACACAGTCATAGTACGGCTGTATAGATGATATTATGTATAAATAATGTATATGGCATTTTATACTCTGCATTATCTTCATTATATATGAACACGAAGAAAAATTACCATAGGTTGTAGTTATGAAAGTATGAATGGAAATAAACACTTCCAAACCACCCAGTGACTCCACACAACGTTTGCAGCGCTTGTGGCCAGAGCACGATGACTCCACCACACCCCATCTATATCTTTTATTTCCCATCATTCGCGTAACTATATGAAAAATCGTGTTAAATTTAACTACATATTTCAAAAACCTTAAATTACATGTGGATCAGTCACTCCTCAATTGACACACTTATAGTGTAATACTTTGACCATCCCACCTGGGCACATGGAGGCCCACGGTAACTCTCACGGGGCAACATCCTTGCAATTGTTGACAAGAGTTAAATATATATATATACATATATATATTCATATATATATATATATATATATATATATATATATATATATATATATATATACACATACTTTCCCTCACCCTAGCAAACTAGTTAGCATAGCATAACCAAACAGCCTCGCAAGAACCAATAGGTCTGTATATAATGTGCGTGCACGCACTAAAATGACCTAGTATATTTTACTAATGTCTCATTGTCAATGGGTTTTCTTACAGTTTGACTGTAAGTTTTCTATTTTGTCTACCTGCCAGTTCAACAGGACTGCTGACCATCCTCCCAGCAACTCATATGCCATCCCAGACCCACAGCCTATATGTATGGTGCAAGACCGCAGTCCAATACATACAAGTCAGGCAGTCAAGCGTTGGTTTGAGGCGCACCCGCACATTATTCTATTGGACTGGCCCCCTAAAGGAGCCGATTGCAATCCAATAGAAAATCTATGGGCGCATATGGTTGTTGAATGGGATGTTGAGGAGAAAACGAGTGAGGCAGTGAGGAGACACGCACATAATGTGTGGGAGGGAATAAGGAGGAGGCCGAACATCTGCAGCAATCTGGTAGATTCCATGCCCACCAGATTGCATGAAGTTATAGCAGCAGATGGAGGTTGGACACGGTATTAACCTGTGGTCAAGAATTAAATCTCCGCCCACGACGGTGCCTTGTAGGGGGTGGCGGGGGAGTTAACTCTCTGGTGTAACCTCGTTGGGGCCACATGGACTTCGTTTCCTAACTCTCGGGAATTTGTCCAGGTATTTTACTGTGTGGTTTTACGTCACTTCACATAAATATGCTTACAAAATCTATGCATTAATATGCATAACTCTTGGGAATCTGTCCAGATATTAAATATATGTTATATACTACAATAATCACATAGATATGTTTGCAATGTTTATGCATAATAAATGTGAAAAATATTTTTGGTGTTTCAATTAACCACTGGTCATGCCGACAAAACAATCTTGATGCTCTAAGTGCATGTATGTGTTAAATAACGAGTAACTGATCCATATTATTTTGGTAAATAAAGAAATGAAAAGCAAGCACTTAGCCATATGGATGTAGTTACATGGAAGAAGGGAAATAAGGATGAACCATGGTTTTGATGGAAACAATGTGCTCTGGGACGATGCTCACAATGACGAATGGGTGAAACCTCTTTATGAAACATCTTACCTACTGAGGATGAAGCTTAATGTTACGGAACACACACACACACACACACAGTGTAACTTTATGTGACGCGTTGTCTGACTTGGGGTGGCGTTGAGCGAAACATACAATTGATATTTCAATTTATGTATCCTTCCTGTCCATGATTTACAACAATAACTGTAGGGCAAAAGTTACAATATTATACTAATAACACTGTCATGTATTGATACTATGACTAGTTACCAAGATACAGAGCACGATGAACATAACATGGTAATGTTAGTGAAGCCATGTGCCCAGGTGGGATGGTCAAAGTATTACACTATAAGTGTGTCAAATGAGGAATGATTGATCCACATGTAATTTAAGGTTTTTGAAATATATAGTTAAATTAAACACAATTTTTCATATAGTTACGCGAATGATAGGAAATAAAAGATATAGATGGGGTGTGGTGGAATCATCGTGGTCTGGCCAGTTGTTTTTTTCGGGGCCCCCTACATCCTTGTGTAAGGTGAAGAGCAGAAGCGTTTACAGCGCCCAACAGGGAAGTATGCTAAGTTCATGCTTGGCTTTATGTCTCATGAGTTAAGGGCGTAGAAGCCTGTAGAGTCAAGGGCGTAGAAGCCTGAAGAGTCAGTGGTTTATGTCATCAAGTTATTGGAAGCTCCAACAACTCCCTGAATAAGAATTCGCAACTTTCGACTTACAACAGGTACCTACTTTACTGCTAGGTGAACAGGGACTAATGGGGGCTAGGAAGTAAGTCCAAACAGGTCTGGCCAGTCTGGCCACAAGCACTGCAAACGTTGTGTGGAGTCACTGGGTGGTTTGGAAGTGTTTATTTCCATTCATACTTTTGTAACTACAACCTATGGTAATTTTTCTTTGTGTTCATATATAATGAAGATAATGCAGATTATATAATGCCATATACAATATTCATACATAATATCATCTATACAGCCATACTATGACTGTGTGTGTTCGTGCATGTGTTGTCTCGTGATCGTTAGAGTGGGCCCCCATCCAGAAAGGACACTGTACTAACCTCCAGCACCGACCCAGGTGGGCTAGAGAATATGGTTTCCGAGTGTACCGCGAAAAAAAAATCGGGGTCAAATTCCCTTTCACTATCAGATCCTGTATCATACTCACAGGATAATCTGTTATTCCTAAGTTTCTGGAACACATCACTAGTATGTAAAGCGATTCTGTTCCTTTAAGTATGGCTGAACAAAATTGATTACACTAAACATTCGCATTTCAGATCTTCAAGTTGACATCTCCCTAACTATGGCGAATACAGCTTCTTCTTTATGGTGTTAGACTTAGTATGCTAGACAACCTTATCCAATTTTAGTGATGAGTCTCCGTCAATGAATACTGCTGGCGTCAAGCTCTGGTAACTACCACAAAGAAACGTGATATTTCAAGAAGAAATGTGGTGCTAGCCAAGATATATTTGCTGCTGATCTTTCTCGGCACTTTATAGAATCATCAGCTCTGATGAGTCGAGGTTGTGTTTCTATTGGACGTTTGACTGAAACCTTCGTGGTTTCATTTACTTTAAGTAGTTGCTGGAGGGTAAAGATTATCATAAAGTAATTCATTGTTTTATCTTATCAATTTTCTTTTTACATAAATGTACATATGGTTTGTTTTATATATTCTTATAGTTTATATACTAATTGGCCGAATTATCACAGTACGGTTCAATAGTATCGGGTTGGTGGTGCCGCTGCTGCTGCCTGCCTCTGGAAGGTGTTGAAGAAGGCCTGCCTGGCGGCGGCAACCTCGGGAGTGTCAGCCACCTGGCTGCCTGCCCCTGGGAGTCCAGCGGGAATGGTGGCAGCCACGGGGCCGGTCCACCTGGGCTGGACAGGGGCAGCAGGGGTGTAGGTGGGAGCAGCCTGGTAGTGAACAGCACCTCCGTGATGATGGGGAGCAGCACCTACGGTGGCAGCCACCTGAGCCTGGTAGGCGTTGAAGAAGGCATTGCGAGCGGCAGCAACGTCCCTGGTGTCAGACACGGGGGTGATGGTACCGTCAACACCGGCGGGGACTGTGGCAGCTACGGGACCAGTCCACTTGGGCTGTGCCGGGGCGTGGTTGTAGTGCCCAGCGTTGTGATGAGAGGGGTTGTAATGACCGGTGTTGTAGGCCTGGTGGGGGATGGCGTTGTACTGGGGCTGAGCAGCAGCCTGAGCAACCTGGTAAGCCTGGAAGAATCGAGCTTTCTCTGCCGCCACCTCCGGGGTGTCCCGGATGGAGGGTACAGCCGAGCACACGCCCACCACTGCCAAAACAACCTGTAGAAGGGATTTATAGTGAGCTTTATCTAGTGTTTAGTGTTGTAAGAAATAATATAATAATTTTTTCAGTTTGTTGGTATAAGATTTGAATAAAATTTATGAATTTTTAAATTTAATGAAGTTACAAGAATCAGTATCAACTGTCAAGAAATGATTTTTGAGTAGAAAACTAATATACAAAGTTTAAAATTTTCTCAAACAGTCAGCAGAGTTTACTGAGTGTTTCATATGTTATATAATTCATTCAACAAGTATATGAGAATTAGATTTTTAAGTAGTTTGGCGGATCATTCTTATGATGTATGTAAAAAAAATGGTATTGATAAAGCTTAGTCTTTACAATTTTTTACCGTAAATCAACGTGTTCATCTCTCAAAAAACTCATGTATCTTTGAAACTTAAAGTTTAATTAATAATTTAAGCATTAAATTACCCATTAGATAAATGCCGGAAAATAAATATTTGTTTTTCCATTTTTTCAACAGGACTCTTAAAATCCACAAAATTATATTATGAACTATCTTTATATGAATAAAAGTTCCTATTCATCATCAGCAGTTCAACTCAGAATAATGATGCAGTAATCTAAATTTAAGAAAATCTGATTATTTATGCAAGAATTAAAAATAATTTAAAATGCAGTGTATATTAGATGCCCAGTAACATAGTTACACTAGATGTTCTTCAATATACTTAACCACAGCGGGATAGTTACCAGAGCCCTCATGATGTTGGTGTGTGAGAGTAGGAAACCGTACTGTGTTGGCTGTGGGTCTTTGGCCGCCTTTATACCCGAGCCTGTGTCGACAAGGTCAGCTGTGTGTGAGGGTGGGGGTGTGTGCATGTGAGGGTGTGTGTGCGCGCGCGCGTGTATATGTGTATGTGTGTGTGTGTAAGCGAGTTTTTGGTTCATCGATGGTCCAGTGTGAGGGGCTATGGGGCCGGATGACTTGGTGGTCATCGTCTTCTTCACAGTGTTAGTAGTCAACACAATATTGGTTGTTAGTTCCACGCCACTCCTATAGAGAGAAACATTGACAGGGCGAGTCTCCAGGAGTGTGTGTGTGTTTTGAAGTTTGTGCACGCAGTTACTGGTGCAAAGAAAAGTAGATTTAGTTAAAACTTAGTGTGTGGATGTAATTCAGTGAGGTTTTGGACAAGTTCCTCAGTCGTATTTTTTCTTCATTGTTTTTCAAAGTTATGGCAATTTAGGGTTTTTATGCAACGGGGGATTTGGCTACCTTTAGTGATAGATACCTGTCTCTCATCTGTAATGAATTATTTGTTCTTTACAAGCGTTAATTAACACAACATAAGCGACGATTGTTGCTTAGTATTTTTACGAGTCAAAAAGAAAGAGTAAACGGATACTTGATCTTACGGAACAGTTGTTTAGAAGACTTATGAACTTACTATCCTTTTCAGGACGCCCAAATAGTCCTTTGAACTACACCCTTCTGTGTGGCAGGAAATTTCATAGGATGTTCTGTACTACAGTTATTGTGTCGACCTTTGACGAAGTTCAGGGTGTACTCTGGCACTACTTACATCAACAGATAATATAAATAGTTCACAGCTCTTAAGGAGAATGTATGTTACGGTAACTTAGTCTAGTTTCTTGGTGTCTCAAGTTTGCGACCATTGCCTCCGAAGGTATGTCTGAGGAAACTGAAGAAGACTTACATCAACTCAAACGTTTTCATAATATCTCAGTAGAAGTCTCGCGTTAGTACTATTATATGTTGATCTCTACTCCAGTCGGCGGATATAACGGAATCAGAGGCACCATAGTGTCCGTTGCCTCTCCCACTTGTGAACGCAGAAGCTTTTGAAGGCGTTCACAAGGAAGTTGACCCGCTAAAGAGGGTTTTTTTTAAATATCTATGATAGACTTGATCAGATTAAATTTGACGATTTGATGAATTTTTTTCCATCTCATCATCATCAGCGGCTGATGTAAGGCTGCAGGAACTTAGCACTTTGCCTTTTGGAACGATATCAACGACCATGATATTTAAGCGGGAGTCTGTGGGCGTTTGGGAAAACATTATGTTTTCGACTCAGCGGAAGGATAGATGCTGTATCTATCCTTCCGCTGAGTCGAAAACATAATGTATTCCCAAACGCCTACAGACTCCAACTTATTATTATTGTCATTTATCACTATTATTCTGATTGCAATATTTATAGATTAGCAAAACTCTTTTCGTATAATCGGCATTCATGATAAGTTAACTCCTGGGCTTGGTTGAAGTAATCCAAGAATTATTTCCAACTGGGGTCGAGAATTTGATGGTTTTATAATCCTCTGCTCTAGATAGCTAGATCACATTAGTTTAGTGGCAGCCCTTTACATTTTTTGCCTGAAGGGTCGTAATTTGTCTATGTATTAGTTAAAAGCCTTCTGCAGTATTCATGATGACTGGGTGAAAATGAAAAATTATCTCACAAGAAGGATCGACTATTGAATTTAAACAGTTTATTTAGCCAGAAAAACACAGATACAGAGTGGATAATAATAACAATATGAACATGGCTGAGCCAGTTGAGAACCTGAGCTCTCTTTTAGGCACTTGATATATACTATACATTTATCTCAAGGAAGTATTATGTAACATTTAGTAACATCTGGAATAGTATAATAACATGGTAGTAATAAGAACATCTCATAATGTTACAACAAGAGTGACTCCAAGGATTAATATTAATTAATGATAAATTAAACCAGTAGAAGAGAGTAAAACCCTCAGCATTACCTTACTCATAATCTCTACTGGGTCTAAAACGGACTTTCCAATCACAGGAGCCAGAGTGACGGTGAACAACCAGGGCCAGTGATCTAGCACAAGGTCTACCGTATACTCAAGTCCACCCCAAGAAGAGAATGGGGGTGACTAGCTCCTCCCATTTTCTTTGGCACTAAGCGTGTTACCGTCCACTTGCGCGCGCCTGTGAAAGAGAGTTTGTTTTTCTTTGACCCGGGCCAAGTAATCATGCTAGATTTTGTCCTCGAGTGAAAATTTTATTACATCACGCTCAGGGGGGTAATATGTAGCGATACTAAGTTACTGTATTTGTTATGTCAAATTACATGAAGAAAATTTTCCCAGGTCATTTCACCTGAACATTAACCCCGCTACCCTAAACTAGTTAGCGTTCAGGTGCTTAATTATCAGGTAATATAAGTTGGGGGATTATCTTCAGGTGGTGTCTTAAATCCTTTATAAACCAGAAACGTTCCTTTGTTTGGTATTACCCCCTCCCATGTATACGGGTCTATTAATATGTAGGAAAACTAGGTTGTAATAATCTCTACTATAAAAGAACACAATGAGTCTTTACAGGCGTTTTATATCATCTATTTCGTCCACGTTAACCTTTGCATCACTTAGGTCCCGCAACTCTCCTGTTTAGCTGAATAAAACTGAAAAGGTCATGGAAACTCACTTGGCACTTACCGAGGTGTTAACATTTTGGTGGGTTGGCTGTAGTTATTTTTGTTCCGCTTCTGTCAGGGAAGTTCTGCTGACGCTCTAGTGTTTAGGGAAGTTCTGCTGAAGGCGTGGTGTTCAGGGTTGTTCTGCTGACGCTCTAGTGTTTTGGGAAGTTCTGCTGACGCTCTAGTGTTTAGGGAAGTTCTGCTGAAGGTGTGGTGTTCAGGGTTGTTCTGCTGACGCCCTGGTGTTTAGAGATGTTCTGCTGATGGTATGGTTTTCAGGTAAGTTCTGTTGACGGCGTGATGCTCAAAGAATTTTTGCTGACGTTCTGATGTTCAGGAAAGTGCTGCTGACGCTCTGATGTTCAGGGATGTTCTGATGACGTTTTGGTGTTCACTGTTTCTCTATTTTTATCTGGGTTTTAGTATAAATATTGCTCAGCTACTTGACTGACTAATGATCAGCTGTTACTGGTCATGTGAGTGAACTGAACTGCATAATAAAGGAACACTGTCACCTAGATCTAAAGTTTCTTCGTATTTATTTTTTTGCCTAACTTAATCGTAGAGTCTTTAGATGAAACACATTTAACAGACGCTGCTGTGTCTTTTGTAAGGCATTGGGAAGGAAATTTTGATTCTTGTTACTTGTCTAATTTATACTCATTAAGGACTTTCTTATGTTTTCTTATTTATGGCTAATAGAAAAAAACGTAACAAAAACAATCCGAGGAACATTAAAACATTAATTGGTAGAGGAATTACATGGTGACTCGGAGGGATGAACTGTGATGACTAATGAAGAAGTTGTTAGACATCATCATAGAACAGGCTTAACGTTGTCACCATATTGTTTTTTCAGGTGTAACGATGGTACCTCATGTGTCTGTCTCTATGGTTTGAAAATTCACCATGATATGTATGAAAATTCAAACCTAACCTAACACATACTAGATATCATTCTTACCATACACACAGACACAACCTCACACACCCAAGGGTCAACAACATTGAGGTGCTAGCTTGATAGAGCCCCTTGATCTATCGCTTAACATCCAGTAACTAATTATCACTAAATCTCGTCTCTAACAAGATGGTTTTGTTTTCAAGACTTACACTAAACATCCTAATTTCAGAAGTTATATAAGCCATTTCGCACCAAATATATTTATGCACATGTCTACATAAATGAGATGTAACTACGACAATAAAATGTTTATCTATAAATGAGACTTTGTTCAGTTTTTTATATCGACAGCACGGGTGACTTACACGTTAACATCAATATCACGAAATAAAGACAACTTTAACTTTATCCTCCTCGAGCACGACTTGTTTTGCAGTCAAAGGGAAGAATAAACATGTAAATCATATTTCTTTTATATATTTCTTTATAGGTTTTAAATTATTTTTGTTCTACATAAATTTTGTGGGTAAATCTAATTATCACAGTACGGTTCAATAGTATCGGGTTGGTGGTGCCGCTGCTGCTGCCTGCCTCTGGTAGGTGCTGAAGAAGGCCTGCTTGGCGGCAGCAACCTCAGGAGTGTCAGCTACCTGGCTGCCTGCCCCGGGGAGTCCAGCGGGAATGGTGGCAGCCACGGGGCCGGTCCACTTGGGCTGGAAAGGGGCAGCATGGGTGTAGGTGGGAGCAGCCTGGTAGTGGACAGCACCTCCGTGATGATGGGGAGCAGCACCTACGGTGGCAGCCACCTGAGCCTGGTAGGCGTTGAAGAAGGCATTGCGAGCGGCAGCAACGTCCCTGGTGTCAGACACGGGGGTGATGGTACCGTCAACACCGGCGGGGACTGTGGCAGCTACGGGACCAGTCCACTTGGGCTGTGCCGGGGCGTGGTTGTAGTGCCCAAGGTTGTGGTGAGAGGGGTTGTAATGACCGGTGTTGTAGGCCTGGTGGGGGATGGCGTTGTACTGGGGCTGAGCAGCAGCCTGAGCAGCCCGATAAGCCTGGAAGAATCGAGCTTTCTCTGCCGCCACCTCTGGGGTGTCTCCGACGAAGGGTACAGCCGAGCACACGCCCACCACTGCCAAAACAACCTGAAACGCGAGGTAGATATTACAATGTATTCCCCCTCACTCTTCCTGCCTGTAGTGGAACACTAATGTTGTTAATATTTTAAAATAACCAGTATACTAAAGCTACTGGGACATGTAACTTTATAAGAATAAAGTTACATTAGTCACTGATTAGGGCAAAGATCTATGAATGAAAGTGGATGCACGCTGAACTCTGACATTCAGACCCAGTAGAACTGAACAGCTGAGATGGAGACAAGCACTGTGGACGCTTTGAGCGTATATATATATATATATATATATATATATATATATATATATATATATATATATATATATATAT